TTACACTGGTAAAATACACTAATAAAATACACTTGTAAAATGCACAAGGAAAATACACTTATAAATTACACTGATAAAATACACTAGTAAAATCCACTTATAAATTACACAAGTAAAATACACTTATAAATTATACTGATAAAATTCCACTTATAAATTACATAATAAAATACAATTATAAAATGCACTAATAAAATACACTCTACATCTGTTGGCAAGCCACAGGGGCCATTACGAAACTACTCGATCAAGTCTGCATCTGATTACTTGATTTTAAAATACTTCCACATATATCGCCCTGATTGCAAAGTGCGGGCGTTTCTTTGAGCTCATGGCTTCAAAACAGTTGACATTCATTGTCAAATCAGTGAGGTGTATAATGTATGTGGTGAAAATATCATAAGTGATGGAATGATGCGAAAATGGGCTAGGGTCTTTAAAGAGCACCGCACAAACATTTATGATGAGGAACGAAACGGGAGACTTTCAGTCATTACCGATGTTCTGAATTAAGAATGGACTGTAAAGTGCAAGAGAGCAGACGATTTTTGATTTTGTCATTAGGCGAAAATTTTCCTGTTGTCCCAAAAAATGTTCTTGACGAAATTGTCTAATCGGGCGGCGAGCTTATTTGACGATGGCATACAAACGCTGGTCCCAAGATACGATAAATTATTTAACATTAATGGGAATTACCTATATAAGTAGGGTAAAGTTTGACCTATTAAGTGAATAAATTATTTATTGACAAAATTTACTTGTTTTTTAGGTCAAACCTGTCATTCCTCTTAAAGAAACCCTGGCATGAAAGGTATATTTGGGCAAATGAGTGTGGTGTGAGACTGCTGATTAGGGCAGTTTGCAGTCGATTTAAGGCTGGCCGGCCCAAGATCGCTGTAGAGGCAGATTAGAGTCTATTTAGGGTCGGCCGCCCGACCCTTGTGGCTGCAGTTTAGGGCCGATTCAAGGCCGGCCGGTCGCCCGGTAGCTGTAGAGGCAGATTAGAGTCTATTTAGGGTCGGTCGCCCGACCCTTGTGGCGGCAGTTTAGAGCCGATTCAAGGCCGGCCGCCGCGCACGGAAGCGGTCTGCCCGGTCGCTGTAGCGGCAAATTTTATGGGCGCAAATGCCAGGCCTGCGCCTGCGATTGTTTAGCGTAATTGTGGCGACGTCCTGAGGCCGGCAGGCGAGACGAGCAGACGACAGCATCAACAGACAAGACGAGCAGACGACAGCATCAACACAGACAAGACGCTGTCTCTTATACACATCTAGATGTGTATAAGAGACAGGTGTTCCACTGTTGAACAGCGATGCAACAGTTCACTGAATGTTCCGCCGTTGAACAGCGATGCAACAGTTCACTGAATGTTTCACCGTTGAACAGTGATGGAACTGTTGACTGAATGTTCCGCCGTTGAAAACCATGATTGCTAAGTTCAACATAAGGGTTTCAATATATACCGTTGAAATAAAGACCGTATTAAATATAATTTTCTTGACATGGAAGTAAGATGCTTCATCCAGAAATTGATGAAAAAAACTGTTCAATTTTATAATATGTTGAACTATGAAAACGGACGGATGTAAGTAATACATTCATTTCTCATAATAAATTTTGTTATAGACCGTACTTTAGTGAAAATGTTTGCCGCTGCCGCCATCTTCCCGCAAGTCGTGCGCCAAGTCAGGCGCTGGATCGAATTGCTCATAAAATATTCTATTTAATCAATAGTTAACTTTTGTGATAATATAATATTCTATATAAACTTTTTACCTAATGTTCTTGAGGTCTCTTGTTCATAAATAATTACTTAGTTTTTATGGGAGAGATTGAAAAATAGCCTATATGTGTTTCTGGGTGTCGAACCCGGCATTTTTATTTCACGATTCATTCGACAAGTTTTAAATTTTTTCGTTATCTATTTTAGTTTCATTTGAATTAAATTTTGGTTTCAACCTAGGATTTTCAAAGTATTTTATGACACAAGATCGAAAGTTTATATCATTTACAAGCTGAAATAGAAGTCACGTGATATTTAACTCCTTAAGCTTAGCGAAACTCGTAGCAGTGATAGCGCTGTTGTTAATATGAATTATATACTATAAAATGAAAAATTGTTCTCTAAGTGTCTGTTTATATTTCATTTCAGAGTGTTCGTTAATCTGAGAGAGAGAGTAAATGCCGTTTGCATTCGAACATTCACCATTCGGAAAGCATTTTGCCGAAGACTCTGCCACAGTCTCCCCTGGACCGTTAAAATGCGCCTCGCAGAAAACGAACCGGCAATTTTCTTCGTTAATTTACGTAGACGAAGCGAAACTGGGGCCCTGCCGTTGCGGTCATCACGGCATCCCTGCGCAGGCCAAACGTTCTTTAACTAATGACAATTGCTTCCACGACGAAAAGAAGGGCGCGGCAGCACTTCTGCTGCATCGTGACACAACCAGTGCTTGGCTGCGCGACACGGGCGCCGGTGACGAAGTGAGGCGGAGTGACAACGCGTCAGGCGCCGGCATCCGCCAGGAACACGTCCCAGGCGCCGGCACCCGCCAGGAACACGTCCCAGGCGCCGGCACCCACCAGAAACACGTCCCAGGCACCGGCATAGGCGCCGGCATCCGCCAGGAACACGTCCCAGGCGCCGGCACCCGCCAGGAACACGTCCCAGGCGCCAGCACCCACCAGGAACACATCACAGGCGCCGGTACCCGCAAGGAACACGTCCTAGGCACCGACACCCGCCAGCAACACGTTAGCCTATGGGCCTCCGCTGACGCTCAGGCGGCTTGGCACGAGGACGTCTCGCTGGGGGAGTTCGAGGAGAGCTTCTTCGGCCGTCGCCAGGTTCAGGACGAGTTTCACGGTTCCTTCGTGCAGCTCGGTTCTGTGAACCATCCTCAGCCTACAGAGGAACATAACATGGGTACAACGTCGGTGCAGGGTATAGTAGGGCATCATATGGTGGACAAAAAATGGAAACAGGGTATAGACGGGCCTCATATGGGCACTTCGGGACAGGGCATAGACGGCAACCGTGTGGACACATGGGGACAGGGTAAAGGCGGTAACCGAATGGGCACATGGAAACGGGGTATAGACGGGCGCCACACGGGCACTTGGGGACAGGGTATAGACAGGAACCAGATGAGCACAGCAAGGCTACAAGGGCACTTTAGGGAGGGGCTGTCAAGGCTCCCTAGGACGCCGCACGACGCGAGGTCTGCCAAACGAAGACAAATTGCGGATTGCGAACCATTTGATGATTACAAACCACCTGACAGTTCCAGACGTTTAGATCCAACTGATGGTTCCAGGGCATCCCACAATTTCGGCTGTGCTCCTGTTGGTGATGGTAGCAACCGTGATTTGGTAGCTGATGGTAGTCGGGGCTTGCGAGAACAAAATTCTGCTAAAGAAAATATTCGTTTTGTGCCTTCGAAGAGGCCTAATGTAAACGTCCCCTTGCTGCCAACTCCTCACGGATATCCCTCGACTAAACCAAACCCTCTTATTATGAAACCCTCTAAAGGGCTCCTGCCCACCCCCAGGAAGGGGCTGCTGCCCATCCCCAGAACTAGACGAACAATTGATCATCACCTCTGAAGGAGTAATCACTTTACCGCGCGTCATTTCTATTCATCCATTTATTGCCTTAAGACGTAGGTATGGCACCGGCTCACCGTTCAGACCAGCTTTTATATAGACTTAAAGCACTTATATAACTTTATATTTATCACTTATACAAAGGAGAGGTGGCGGTTTTTGAGGTCCTTGGTTTACCGCAGTCTTGTCGCAGCTCAGCGGGCACTAGTCCATTATTATGATAATATCATGTTATATTAGCATGTTACATGTTTAGATTACTTGGTATCGGTTTTATTGCTGATGTTTTATTGTATCTATAATATTTTTTACGTATATATATTTATTCATGCATTGTTCTTTTATTGACATTTTAGGAAAAAAGTGAGTTACAAGAAAATACTTTCTTCCCCCCCCCTGCCTTCCCTCCTCATCCCTCGGCAATACCTCCCCTAGTAGTAGTAGTAGTAGTAAAAGATTTACTAGCGCTTCAGATAGCAATCTATTTCGCGCCGGAGGTGAGGTCTTCAGCTACGTCAAAGATGTTTGGTCTCTTCCGTCTTCAAGGCTTATAGCCTGATCCATTTTAGGCGCAGGGGCTGGGCGGTAGATTCCCTGCTCATGGAGCGAGGGTCCGCTCCTACTTCATGTATCAACTCCAGCGCAAGTTTAGTGAGGCTTGGTCTAGGTGATGGCAAGGTGCGATTATAGTCTCGCTAAAGGCGGTGATGCAAGTGCATATGACCGACCGGCGGTGGCGTTACGGGGTCATGCTAAATCTCTGGCAGCAGGTTGCATTCCATCAGGTATCGTCTAAGGTTATCTCGGGCATAACCTGCATCTGTTGGGCCTGTGTTGCTGCAAAGAGTGCATCGTAGTCTTCAGATGATGGGATGTTATATGGAAATGGCTTTGCTTGGCCTATGCTATGGGCCTATTGCTATTGCTTGGCCTATTGCTGGGCTATGGAAATGGCCTCCCCTGCCTACCCTCCTCATCCCTTGGTAAATACAAACAAAACACAGCAAGAATAAAATATCATTTAATTGGGATTTATTAACATTGATAACGATCATTAGAGCGTTAATTACATGACTAATTGCGTCAACCACCCCACATTAAATATAGCTTAAACGAGACCATTAAAATAAACCCGTTTATCTTAATTGCATTGTTGGCCAGGCTACAAAATGCGTCACGGTTAAAAGGTTAAAAAATGCCCCGCCTACATGCTGTTGTAGGCTAGGCCCTACTCCCTACATGCCATTGTAGGTTGGGTCCTACATGCCGTTGTAGGCTAGGCCTACATGCCGTTGTAGGCTAGGCCCTACATGCCGTTGTAGGCTGGGCCCTACATGCCGTTGTAGGCTGGGCCTTACATGCCGTTGTAGGCTGGGATGTTGTAGGCTAGGCCCTACATGCCGTTGTAGGCTGGGCCCTACATGACGTTGTAGGCTAGGCCCTACATGCCGTTGTAGGCTGGGCCCTACATGCCGTTGTAGGCTGGGCCTTACATGCCGTTGTAGGCTGGGTCCTACATGTTGTAGGCTAGGCCCTACATGCCGTTGTAGGCTGGGCCCTACATGACGTTGTAGGCTGGGTTCTACATGTTGTAGGCTGGGCCCTACATGCCGTTGTAGGCTGGGTCCTACATGTTGTAGGCTGGGCCCTACATGCCGTTGTAGGCTGGGCCGCCTCCAGGCTCGGGCACGACCCAATTGATGTTCTGGGACGGACATTTGATGTCGCAAGTCTTGCAGTGGATGCAGTTCTGGGCGTTGATCTGTAGGCGCTCCCCATCTCCCCCCTCCGCGGGGACGAACTCGTACACGCCTGGGGAGCAGGGCTGCGTTAGGGCTTGGTTAAAGTGACATTTATAACCCCAGCGCCCTTTCAAAAGGATTCTTGTACAGAAAGTGTTCGGGTATAAGAGCTATTAATTACAGAGTTCTGAGGTACGTTTTTGTTCACGGTCATCTACAGAGGAACGTTTTCGTACTAATACTGCATTGAAAAACGTGTCATGAACTGAGCGCAAAAATGGGGGACTTGAGCCCCAAGAGGGGACTTGAGCCCCAAGAGAGGACTTGAGCCCCAAGAGAGGACTTGAGCCCCAAGAGGGGACTTAAGCCCCAAGAGGGGACTTGAGCCCCAAGAAGGGAGAGGACTTGAGCCCCAAGAGGGGCTTAAGCTCCCCACTCACCAGCAGGACAGAACCGAGCCTCAGGCCCCCCGAAGGTAGGGAGGTTGCGCAGGGTGGGGATGAGGTCGTCAGAGAGTGTGAGGTGGGGAGGCTGGTCGTGTTCATGGTTGGTGTTGGTCAGAGACACGGAGGTGAGGAGGTCGAAGCTCAGCTCCCCATCAGGCTTGGGGTACTGGATGGGGAGGCAGTCCTTGGCGGGGCGCAAGCTGTCTGCATCACGACCTGCACATATAATAAACGGCATTGTTGTGATGGTCTGTAGTGTCTACTCACGGTCTGTAGTGTCTACTCACGGTCTGTAGTGTCTACTCACGGTCTGTAGTGTCTACTCACGGTCTGTAGTGTCTACTCACGGTCTGTAGTGTCTACTCACGGTCTGTAGTGTCTACTCACGGTCTGTAGTGTCTACTCACGGTCTGTAGTGTCTACTCACGGTCTGTAGTGTCTACTCACAGTTTGTAGTGTCTAGCCATGACCTTCCATCTCCCATTGCTTCCATTAACATTGTTTCAGTCTCTTAGATTTGACCAGCATTATAAATTTTGTAATAATATCACAACACAGCAGGTATTAAAGGTATAAAATAGCGTTCCTTAATGACTATTGCAGCCATTGGTTAGCCCCCGTCATGTGGCAGACCACTCAGCATTGAGAAGACCTCATTAAGACCCTCCCCTCACCGGGGTGCTTGAGTGTCCAGGGCTCACGTCCCCCCGCCAGCATGTAGAAGACCCCCGTGTAGAGCAGCCCCCCGTACAGCCCCAGGGGGGAGTGGAAGGAGGGGCGCACGTTGCGGGCGGCGTGAAGCTCCTGCCACACCCACGACGCCCTGATGAGGGCCTCGTACTCCTGCGGGTCCACACCTGTGGGGGGCAAGGGGGTGTTATGGGGGTGTCTACACCTGTGGGGGGCTGAAGGATTTGAAGGAAAGAGGTAAAAAATCAGAACCTGGCGCCCGCATTACATACCATTTCCAGCACGCGTGTAGGCATCAGTACCACTTCAGTACCTTCAAGTACTAGGAACTGGTCCCACAGTCCCAACTCACTGGTCCTCAGACCCAGCCACTTACAGGTCCCCTCTTTCCCCACTCCCCTATCATTGGTCCCCACTGCCCCACTCACTGGTCCCCTGGTCGCCACTGCCCCACTCACTGGTCCCCTGGTCGCCACTGCCCCACTCACTAGTCCCCTGGTCGCCACTGAGCCTCCCGAAGACGGCCTCAGCGGCGAGCATGGCGCTCTTCATGGCGGTGTGCGTCCCCTTGATCTTGGGGACGTTCATGAAGCCTGGGGAGCACCCCACCAGGCATCCCCCAGGGAATGTCAGCTTGGGGAGGGACTGCAGGCCTCCCTCGTTCAGGGCCCGGGCCCCGTACTGCACCCTGAGGGGAGATGGGGCCATTTGTAGCACATCCTTCTTCTTGTGGTTAAAGAAATGGTCCGAAAATCAAGATAACATCCCTTTAAATAATTCTAGAGGTAATAATTTATTTAAATTACCAGGTACGGTACTGCTTTAAATCTTACACTTTAATTATTATTGATTATGCGCATACTGTTTGAATACATTAATTGTTTACCGCGTGTCAACATTATCTGATAATTGATCAATAATTTGTCGCCACTTGATGCATGCCAATAGATGAGATAAAAAATAACTCACAAAAGTGTAGGTACCTATACATTCATACTTTATCAAAAAGTAGACAAAGCAGTAAATAACGATAATTTTTTAAAGTTCATGACTAGATGAGGTTAAAAGCCTGTCGTGCCGCGGGTTAAATCAAGCGCTTCAACCTGCCACTCTCATGAAGACTTACAATGCCACAAATAATATTAATACTTATTACTATAATTCGTGGCATTAATTAATAATATAAAATATAATTATTTTTTATTAAATTAATCATTATTAGTAACATTAAATTGTTAATATAATATATAATTATACTAATCATTATATTAATAATAACAATTTATATTATTTTGACCTGGTGCCGCCCCTGAGGGTGGGGGCGATGCTGGGGTGATGTTTGAACCTCTGCAGCTCCTTGAAGGGGCTGAGGTAGGGGTTGCGGTAGTCCAACCCCATCACCAACCCCAGGGCCACCAGCCGCTCACCCCCGTCCTCCAGGTGGTAGAGGAACGAACCCCCGTACGTGTGTCTGGTGGTGGGGGGTGGGTTAGAGAGGGGAGTGGGGGCACATGAGTTAGAGAGGGGAGGGAGGGGCATAACGAACCCCCGTACGTGTGTCTGGTGGGGGGAGTGGGTTAGAGAGGGGAGTGGGGGTGAATAGAGGGGAGGTTGAGTAAGGAGACGCGGAATCAATCAATGTTAATTAATTCTCCAATAATTGTTCAGTGAACATAATTAAGACATCTCCAATAATTGTTCGATAAGCATAATTAAGACAATAGATCTAATTCAACATAAGGACGCCCACCATTGCAGGGGACGAGACTATAGAGAAGGTGTGTAGCGTTCCATATAAAGTGTAGTAAATATAATATATATTTTTTACCAGGGATATAACTATAAATGTGATTAGGATAATGGATATAGTCAACAAAACAAATGTTTTATTGGACATAGTCAATGACAAATAAAAGATTCCAGTACCTATGCTTGGGGGAACAAGTCTTCAATGTAATGGTAAAAATAATGTCCAAAATCTTTTATGAATTAGATCATGGAAATTATGATGGCAGATCTCATAGAAAATAACAAAGCAGTAACACAAATAAGAGTCGGGAGGTCTGTTGTAGTACTCACCTGTCGAGGGGCCAGCCGACGGTGTGCTCGATGGTACCAGGCTTGTGGTTGCCCTCTGGTACCTGCCAGAGCTCCTTGAGGCCGATGCCATATGTCTGTGGCTGGCACTTGTCCCTGAGGTTGTACTTCTGGTAAAGCTGCTTGGCCAGATGGCCGTGACAGCCCTCAGCAAAGATGGTGCACTTCGCATGGAACTCCATGCCCCTTTGGAACGCCGCCTGTGGAGACACGTGACATCAGTGCTCTGGAAGGACTAACACGCAGCATAATAATAATACGCTTGTACAAAAATGTTTGTAAGAAACGTGTAGTTGGACGAAATTTAACCAAGTTTACATTATCATGCCAATGCATAATAATGCATTTGTAAATCAAATACATGCGTTTAATTGCAACATGCAAGAAATTGCACTGCGGTATGAGAGATTCAAAACAAACTCAGAAACCCGGTATAAGAACTCGTGCGTCAGTAATTTACAGCGCAAAGTGTATGAATATCCTTCATCACATACCCACCTTAGGGGAGCCGTCCTTAGCACCCACCTTAGGGGAGCCGTCGTTAGCACCCACCTTAGGGGAGCCGTTCACCTACCTTCGGGGAGCCGTCCTTAGCACCCACCTTAGGGGAGCCGTCCTTAGCACCCACCTTAGGGGAGCCGTCCTTAGCACCCACCTTAGGGGAGCCGTCCTTAGCACCCACTTTAGGGGAGCCGTCCTTAGCACCCACCTTAGGGGAGCCGTCCTTAGCACCCACCTTAGGGGCGCCGTCCTTAGCACCCACCTTAGGGGCGCCGTCCTTAGCTATCCCTGCGTCGGCAGTAGCGACGCCCTTAAGAGAACCGTCGTCGTGGTAGAGAAGCTCTGCTGCAGGCTGCCCCGGGTACACCTCCACCCCAAGCTCCTCTGCCTGCGCCCCCAGCCATGCCACCACGTGACCCAAGCGAACAATGTGGTTGCCCACGTTGTACATGGGCATGCCTGCAGGTCGTGGCAGGTTAATGAGTGACACGAAAATGTGATGTATGCCTGCAGGTCGTGGCAGGTTAATGAGCGACACAAAAATGTGATGCATGCCTGCAGGTCGTGGCAGGTTAATGAGTGACACAAAAATGTGATGTAGATGCCTAATTTGTGCATGGGAGCACATACAAGTTGCCAATGATTACATCCCAAATGGCCATGACGAATTCACTAGAACAATTGCAGACATTAGGAAGGTTACTCTAGAAGCATAGGCTCACCAGGAAGGATGGGTATGGGTATTCTGCCAGTTTCAGTGAGTAAAGCAAATTTGTCGTGGGTGACAGGGTTGTGGATGGGGGCGCCTCGATCTCGCCAGTCAGGGATCAGCTCGTCCAAGGCTCGTGTCTCCAGACAAGCACCAGATAATGTGTGTTGGCCTGTAAATTATTGTATAGATGTGGTATACAATACAATGATGATTTATTGTACATGACAAGGAAAATTATCTATTTTATCAAATGACGCTAGCAAGAGATGAAACAGAAATCAGATGTACGTATTGTATTAATCTCACTATAATAATCATTAATTCTTGCTAGCATTTAATGCCATTCATCAAAAAGAATTTCCTCTTAACACTTGACTGACTTTTCAGTTCACAATAGGAATAACAGCACCCTCCACATTGGTTATTTAATAACAGGGCATCAGTTCAGAAAACTAGCAAACAAATTTGCATCATATAAATCAAGCTGTTCTGCTACAAACAACAGCCATACAATCTTGTCACTAAATTCTTGATAAACATTCAAAGATTTGATTCATGGATAAAAATGACAGCAGCAGTCCCCCAATGCAATGACCAGCTATATTTGTGCTCCAGAGTAATCATTGAGATAAATAAATACTTAATTGCAAGCAAAAGGGATCCCCAGGCTGCCTGCATACCTGGTTTAGAACGAGAGAAGAATCTTGATATTCATCAAGATAATTACTCATTACGACATGATTTAGGATACATCTACTTGAAAAGTCATAAATAATTTGAGGTCACCGTAAGACAGAATTTGATAAATAAATAAATAAATAATATAAATAATTTGAGATCACCTGTAAGACAGAATTTGATAAATACATAAATAATATAAATAATTTGAGGTCACCTGTAAGACAGAATTTGATAAATACGTACATAAATAATATAAATAATTTGATATCATCTGTAAGACAGAATTTGATAAATAAATAATATAAATAATTTGAGATCACCTGTAAGACAGAATTGAGATCAAAATTTGCAAAGTCCCTCACCAATCTCAGTAGCCTTCTCAAGCACCACAATGGTGAGCTCTTTTTCAGCCTGCTGCGCCAGCTGTGCTAGACGAATGGCAGCGGACATGCCGGCGGGGCCACCTCCAACAATCACCACGTCCGCAGAGTATGTTTCTCGCTCCATCGAGATTTCTGCTCATGGCATGAAAATGCAACATAATCACTAAAATTTTAGGACATTGAGTCAGATGTGAAGACAAAAAATTAAAACAGATGAACCCTTGCTTTGGTTTGTTAGGTATGTAATATTACACAGAGAAATTAATTGTTATGTGCAATTCAATTATGTTAATAAGGTAAAAACTATGACAAAGATGAGTGATGTTAGATGAGTGACCTCATGATGGATTACTGGTAGGGTACAGTTACATAGGTACTGGTATATAGATATATGTGTACAGTTAATAACCAGAGAAATGAGAGAATGCAATATAATTTTTTCATTATTTAATATTATTAAAAATTTTTTTATTTTCGAACTCTGCCTTCCGATCTACCAGTGTCATCCAAAGAATTGTTCGACTCCTTTAAAATTATCATGCATTCTCTGGTCATTAATTGTACACATTTAAACAAGAAAATTTTGCCATCTTGTAATAAAATATTGATAGGTATATACATAGAACAATGAATCTGTCCATTTATACATTTCCTTGTATGGAAGCACTAGAAATCTTGTAACTATCCATTAAATGCCCATAACTTAAAGAAATTAATATAGTAATATAGAGTTCAGACCTCATGTGTGATATCAGAGGTCCATTCTTAGACAACTATTTCAAAGTAACATAAAATTTTGGAAAAACACAATAAGATCCATTGCATTGATAAATGTAATGTTCATTAGGAAAGATCCATTATGTAAATCCATAAATATAAATGGAATGTTCATTAGGATAAAATACTTAAAAAAATGATTGTATCTGAAATTGTTAGGCGAAAATAGCCTGCATGCCGAATTTTAGATCTCATGAGCAATCAGAAGTGGGCTAATTTTTGTTGTCAATGTTAACAACAAACAAACAAACACAAAGCTGAGTAAAGAAAAACGTGTTAAAAATAGGGAGACTAACCTGCCCATCTTGGGTCGTGCTCACGGGGATGGCGTGTGTAGTGAGTGGTGATCCGAGGCTGCACCACAGTGCTACAAGGACGCAAGACTGAAGCACCTAATCTTCTTACTTGGTTGAGGCTGAAGCTACATTTCTGCGGATGCAACCGCCCTGCATGATATAATACAAATGAGATGCATACATTGAGACATATATACATAAAGGACAGAAGAATCAGCAAAATTCTAACTTTATCTTCAAGATTGAACTCTCAAATTACTTCTAAAATCATTTCAAGGTTCTGATAAATCCAGTATTTTGGAGAGCTTGTCTCAGGCCAATTTGAAAAATCATGCAGCAGTTTCCTAAAATTGTGAGTAAAAACAGGCGATTTTTTTATCACTGAAAAATTTGGGAAAAGGCTATAGAAGCAATGAAATTATCCAGATTCATGGGTTTTTTGTTGCATTCACGGATGACTTCTGCCCGATTTTCCACTTTAGGTCTCAGGTGGTTCCTTTGCTGTCCAGACTAGAGATAACAAGTGAGATAGTAGACTATTTTACTGTCAATAAATACAATAATAAATTTAAAATAATAGGTAGAATTGTTTGAAAATCTTAGATAAATAAAATGGCATCACAGATTATTAAAAAAAATTGCAGACAAAATTTGCTATTTTTCTCAAATTTTACAAAAGATATTAGTCAAGGGTCATAGAAACCTGTGAATTGGACTCCGAGCATCCAAAGTGGATGCTTGGGGACTGGAGAATGTGAACTGCAGTAGTAACTGCATTTCTGGTACGTATTCTAGAAGCAGAAATCTGTCAGAATAGCTGCAGAGCTCTGAAATTTTGAGAGTGTGCATCTAGGAACTATAATCTTGCTATTCTATCATCTTTCATTACTGGCCTGACACAATTTCAATGTTACTCTCTAGCATCAAGTGGTACCTTTTTCAAAACTCAGCCAAGCAAGTAGACAATAGAAATTTCTCAAAATGCAAGATGGTATTGTGATTGTCACAGTTTTAAGTTTTTTCACTTCTTTCCAAAGATATGCCAATCAAATTAATCTACGTTTGGCTAGACTTTTGAAATTAAATATCTTACTGCATGCCAAGCGTGGAAAACATTTACCTTTAAGGCCACAACTAGAGGTTTCCTGCCATTTCCGGAACAGCAAGATTTCCGCCAGATGAATTACCTCCTATCCAATTGTTAACAAAAGTGCATGATTGGGCTGCGAGATTCCAAATGTATTAAAAATTTGTCACGTTGCAGCCACGAGATTTCAGAAACAAGTAGGAAAATTCCAATCCTGAACTGTGCACACCAAAGCAGGAGGTGGCTGTTTGCCAATGCTGTCAATTATGGGCAGTTTTTGCACATACCTAGGGTAAACACACCATATTCCAACACATTAAGGACATACCAAGAAATGAATGGCTATAAAAAGATCACCGTATGTGCAACTCAAGTTCCGATTGCTTTACGTCACTCTCAAAATACCACACTACGCGCCAGCAACAATGAAACGTCACAACTGTTTATTATTAATTTATTTATAAAAATTGATTTAAAAGCCTCTTGAATTCAAATCTACAAAATCCCTGAATTCTGACACTGTGTGACTAAATTTGGCATATTGTAAGACTAATTCCAACAGGCAACAGCACTTCAAACTCTTACTAATTCGTAATTCCAACACCCTGAGTTGGAATTCCAATGCCCTGTGTGAGCTGTATCAGAATACAACACAGCTCGGAATGAGCTTGATTAAATAAAAAAAATTTAATTTTAACTAAGCTTTTAATTAAGAGCTATTAAGCATTTAAATAAGAAAATTTTAATTTTTGAACACAGCTCAGAACGAGCTGTGTGTGTCAAATTCCAAGCTGTGTCGGAATTAATTTTTATGTGTCTAAAACCGTCTCTTAACACGTTGACTACGATTGCTTCATCTTGTACAATTATTTCATTTTTTGTACTTTTTTTAAACAGGCCTGGTTGCCAGACGGCCATTTTTTCCGGACAAATTCCGTGATTTAGTTTTTCCCAATTGCGTTGGCCGGCTAAAATTTATGATAGGGGTACTTCCTAATTAAATTTTAAATACTGCAAAAAGAAAATAAATGGAATTTTTATAGCGGAACCTACAAATAAACTAGTATACATTGAATTATCGGCCTTTTTTGGCCTTTTTTGTTCTCGGATTTGGCCAATTTTAGGAAAATATATATTGAATTATCGGCCTTTTTTGGCCTTTTTTGTTCTCGGATTTGCCCGATTTTAGGCAACCTGAATTATGTACCACAACCTCCTGGAGAAATACATTTCGTGGTACGCATATGTACCAATATGTAGTCAACGTGTTAACTTATCATCTATTAATTTATTTACCACTTAAAATCAGCAAATACAAGTATACTTAGAGGATTCCTAATATATTCACAGACTTATTCAAAAGTCTCAAACCATAATATTCTTTCTACTGCTACACAAACAGTTTATCACTATTTGGCAGAGCAAGGTCAACTATCAACTTTGACACGTGTTCCAATGTTCTCACCCACTGTGCAGAGAGTGAACGAAGATTTAAAGACCTACGGTGACGCATTATCGGCAAAATTTTCGCCTTCAGAAGATCTTGCCAACACATTTAGATTGAAATTCTTGCATTTAATATATTTCTCAGTCTTCAGCCAACTATTTAGAAAAAAAGTAAGGTTTCCGGTACGTTGGATGGATTACGATGCAGCGAAGCTTGTCCGGAAATCAGTTGCTGCGACGCTTTGGGCTTAAAAATCCATATATTGCCAACGCTGCATCCACCCTCTGCATAGTGGGTTCTCACTAGTTGACTTGGATTTTTGCTCTGAGAATCTAACATTTTCCCGCCAGACCCAGTGTTGTGCGGGAATCTGGCGCACAATAGTATGACGTCACTATTTTAACCATCTACGCATGCGTGGAAGTAAGACAAAGCTTAATATAAACGAATAAGTTGAGAAGTGATGGAATTACCCACAATGTTGGAAGATGGTGTGTTTACTGTTTACCCTAATATAAAAGTAGACCAGTAAAGTATCATGGTTACAGCAATTTCATAGATAAGAAATAAGTTTAAATCTTAGTAGGGTAAACGCGGTATATTCCGAAACATTAAGGATGCATCGAGAAATGAAAACCTATAAAAAAATAACCGTATGTGTTACTTGAGTTCTGTTTGCTTTATGTGACTTGCAAAACACTGTACTACGTGCCAGCAACAATGAAACGTCACAAAATGTTGCCATATTTATTTAAAAGCCTTTAGAATGCAAACTTACCAAATCCCTATATTCCGACACTGAGTGTGGCCATGGTGGCAATCCATAGGTTATTCAAAAGAACCTGTTCTTATGTCATTTTGAACCGATCAACGCTTCTTTACGGACCGATCGTAAAACATCAGCCGGACCGGGCGATGCTCTTGCAAACGCATAAGTACTCACAATAATTCCCTGCCACCATGAGTGTGGCAATATTTGGCACGTGGTGAGGCATATTCCGTCCGCGCTTCAAATTCTACTGATACGTAATGCCATCATCCACGTGTTCGAATTCCGTTTGCTGTGTGAGCTATATTGGAATACAACACAGCTTTGAATTAGAACACTAATGATTAATGAATATTGAACACTACTTAATTACGCTTTTAATTAACAACTATTAAGCTTTTAATTAAGCAAATTTTAATTTTTGTACATAGCTTGGAACGATCTGTGTGTGTGTCCAATTCAAGTTGTGACAGAATTAGTTTTCATGTGTCTAAATCCATTTCTCAACTTAATCATCCATTAATTTATTTACCACTTGAAATCGGCTAATACATGTATACCTACTTAAAGGATTCCTAATATATTCACAGACGTATTTAAAAGTCTCAAACCATAATATTCTTCCTATACAAACAGTTAGCCTATTTACTACTTGGTAGAGCAAGGTCAACTGTCAAATTTGACACATTTTTTGATGATCTCACTGGGTAGCGTGCATTGTCTCTCTTTGGATATCAATATTTTCCCGCTAGATGGCCAAGACCTAGTGTTTTGGCATTAGTTAAACGCGCAAATGTATGACGTTACCATTTCAACCATCAACAAACACATGGAACTAAAAGTCTAAAAACAAAGCTTAATATAAAGGAAAAACTAGAGAGGTGACAGAATTACCCATGATGCCGGAATATACCACGTTTACCCTAGATGAGGAAATTAAAAATGGACTGATTCCAAAAAATGTGTGATTTTTCACTATGACCACTGTGCCACCATTAGGCAAGATAAAACTACTAGTACTATGCTAGGCTTATGTTATGCCTATGGTCTTATTGGTCTATAGATATGGTCAATTTTATCCATTTCAATCACTTTAATGTACACACCTAACACCTTGCCAAATGTATTTAGTAATAAGTCTATGAGTATGAAATGATGCATTTTATCTCAGATTTTCAATAATCACCTCTGAAATGACCTTTATTTACCCACAAATAGCCTATTGGAAAATTCTGCCTAGCTAATATTTCAGATAGCTAGGTTCAAGACTCAAAGCAAGATGGTCAATTTGCTTAATTTGTTGGGAAGTACAATGATATTCCTTCACTTACCAAAGAAGAGAAGTTTTCTTACAGCTATGGCAGACATTCTTTTAAACTTCTTGCTAACCACTAAGAAAGCCCTTTTACAGCTAGGCTTAGTTGGATGAGTAGTCAGGTTCGGCAGTCGTAGTTAGCCAACTAGGCCTAAGCCTAACTTGATAGATAAATAAGTAATCAGTATTCAGTAATGCTAAATTATCATCCTGATTATTCCTGAAGATGACTATAAATCACCATAAATATTAGCAAAGCTGTAGAATGATAAAATCCAAGCAAAATTTAATTTATTTGCATCATTTTTCCATAAAAATTATTAACGTATTCACGAAGACGTGCACGATTACTGTGATATCGGTCACACTTGAAAGCTGAAGGCGCTGAACCTGAAGTGCAGAACACGTGGCGAACAATGGATCGATCAAATGCGGCGGAGAATGTGGCGATTCCTTAATTCTAGAAGTTGATGCTGTAATGAAGATGAGTCCAGAACGGATTGCATCAATTTGTGGCGTGGTTTCTCTGAAAAAGACATTCCGGAGTCAGGACTTTACAACGGCCATAAGCAACGCATCACATATTCACTTTGTTAGTGGGAGAGAAAAGGGAGACCAAGCCAGGTAGAAGCGATATTAAAGCAGAGGCTAGAGGGCCCGGAGGGGTGTGAAAATTTGTGTTAAATGTGAGATGAAAAAGCAATGTGAAGAGAAATTTAAGAGGATATTTTTTTGTTTATTATAGCTATATCGCATTAATTGCACTGTATAGTTTACAAACATATTATATATTCATATTAGATATGGGACTTCTTAGGCCTGAATGATTATTTGTTTTATTAAATTATTATTGATGCAGTGTTTCTTATTTTATTATTGCTTTTCCTCTTTACACTCTTCTGGCCTCTATTTTTGCAAGCCTCCTCTCCCTCATTCTCCATGCACTCTCAAAAATCACTTGCCACTCTCAGTCCTAGAAACAGCCACCCCGGTTGACAGACCCACTATCATGGTAATTCATTCATCTCCCGTTCGCTCATACATCACACCACCTCGCCTGCGGATGTGCATAGGAATGTAAATGAATCACCTGTATGGGAGAGTTAGAATAGAATAGAAGTGTCGGCTGAAGAAATAGGCCCATGGCCTGTTGTCGATTCTTGAATTTTTCGTAACTTGATTCACAAGGGATCCGGCATTTGGAACCCGATCTTTCCATAACTGACGATTGATTGAGTTAGCTGCTGGACTTATTGCCTGGTCCGTAATTTGCTAGGCATTTTAAGACTGAACATATGCTCCTGCATAGCTTCGTCTGGACTTATTGCCTGGTCCGTAATTTGCTAGGCATTTTAAGACCGAACATATGCTCCTGCATAGCTTCGTCTAGTCTGTTCTTGAAGGCGTTTTACTCGGAGCGTCAACGATGCTATCAGGGAGGCTGTTCCACATGTCAGCAACTTGAAGCGGGAAGAAATGTTGTCGCATGGATGTGTTACAACGCAGTTATTTTAGTTTATAGCCGTGGCCCCTGGTGTTGGGTCTTGTTTCAAATTCTAGTAATCCTTCCGGAACCTTGTATAAGCCATGAGTATACTTGTATGCATCAATGAGTTCCCCACGCAGACGTCGATAACTGAGGCTTGGAAGCTTCATAATCTTTAATCCTTCCTCATAGGACTTGCTTTTCAAGCCCGGAATTATCCTTGTTGCACGTCTTTGAACACTCTCTATTAAATTTCTGTCCTTTTCAAGTTTCGGTGAGCACACGACATTTCCAAACTCTAGGTTCGGGCGCATGACAGCAACAAACAACTGCTTCATCGCTTCTGCATGTAGGAACTCGAAAGAGCGTCTGATCAGTCCAAGTCGTTTATTGGCTTTATTAACTTGACCTTCAATATGCTTAGAAAATTTCAACTCATTGTCGATATTAACTCCTAAATCTTTTTCCATTGTCGACTTCGACATCATCACTCTGTCGTTGCAACCGTGTCTTCTCATACTGTAATCTTGCTGTTCATTATTCTTGCCAAGGTGGATTACTTTACATTTGTCAGCATTAAAGATCACCTTGGAACTGTACTTTTTGCGACGTATTCTTCACTGTATTATAAATTTTTGTGTCGTCAGCATACATCGAGCACACGCTAGACACAGCTTCTGGCAGATCGTTTATAAACGCAACGAATAGAATAGGCCCGAGAACGCTTCCTTGTGGCACGCCACTGCGCACTGGAGCCCAGTCTGATAAGGACCCATTAATACTGACACGTTGTTGTCTCCCTACTAGAAAATCTCTGATCCATTTGAGTACATTGCTGTCAATTCCCAAAGACTGCAATTTCCGCAACAGCCGCTCATGTGGGACACTGTCAAATGCCTTGGCAAAATCGAAGTACACTGCATCTACTGGCTCCCTTTCGTCCAGCAGGCGGGTCCATTCGTTCAGAGTAGACAAGAGGTTAGTGGTGCATGATCTCCCAGCAATAAAGCCATGTTGACAGTCTGATAGAAGATTATTAGCAGTCAAATAATCTATCAATCGATCCCTCACAACAGATTCCATTACCTTGCAAACGACACTTGTCAAAGTGACAGAGCGATAGTTGCCCGGACAGCTTTTGTCACCTTTTTTGAATAACGGTGTCACTTGAGCTTCTTTCCAGTCAGCCGGCAAGATCCCTTCGTTCAAAGTTTTTCGAAAAAATGACGTCAAAGGGTCGGCTAGGACAGTTGCTAACTCTTTGAGTAATCTGGGGTGGAAGGCTGGAAGCCGTCTGGTCCACATGACTTGTTTGGATTTAGAGCGATAAGGCGCTTGAGAACCTCTTCTTCTTGTATTTCAAAACTTGTTAATTTAGAGCCGACTGGGCGCTCCTCAATTGCTGGAATACTGATCAAGTCATCTTCAGTGAATACGATACTGAAAAACTGATTAAGAACGTTAGCCTTGCCCTCATCAGAGGATATCTTTCGTTGATCTACTTTCAAATCAGAAATACCGTCCTTCATCTTGCACTTCGAGCTAGCGTACAAAAAAGAAGGCTTTCGGGTTCTTTTTTGCATTTTTAGCAATATTTTTTCGAGGGTTTTTACTGCGGTGTGACAGCTTTCTTTAACATTCATTTCCTTAATACTGTTCGAAATATTCACTGCATTCACTGCCTCAAGGAGTTTATCATAGTCGCCTTTCGCAAAATTCGAACGCTCACTCTTTCGATGCGTCTTCTCTGTACAGCACTTTAGACTGAAAAACAATGATCGGTGATGGCTTTTGCCCAATGGAGCCTCGTGACGAAGCTCATCTAACATTGATTCATCACTAGTAAACACCAGGTCTAGAATATTGGGAGTCTGTTTACTTCTATAATGGATTGGCTAAATTTGGCTTAGTAACGTGCTGGACCAGGAAGGAGTCTCACACAGACTCCATGAACAAGGATGCTGGGTGATTCGGGTCGCCTGCCGAAGACCACCACTGCCCTGGATGTAATGGACCATCATGATTCCTGCCTTCCGGAACGTAGCCTTCAACACTTCAAGCCGTCCGTATCTAGGCCGTGGGTCGAACCAGCCCTAGGTCGAACGGCCACTTGCCGAAGGATGATAAATGTTGGAACAGAACTATGCTATCTGAAACCTAACCTCAGATGCGGTGAACGTAAAATTACGTAATTTAACGATGTCCAGAAGTCATATTCGATCCGCGGCCTGGTGGGGCACGGCAGGTGGTGGTCAAGGCCGGAGGAGGACAAAGCCGAGTGGTGCACGGCTGATTGGTGTAGATCCGGAGAGATCCCAGGCGTTCGATTTAGGGCTTATTGGTGCACAAAATTGGTGGTGCACGGCTGCGCTCCCGGTGATTCTCATCCCTTGGAGAGGATCCATCTGTCCAGTCTAGCTCTGGATGATTAAAATCACCAACGATCAACGTGTGTGACCTACGGAAAGCCATGCTCGGTAAAAGACTGTTTAGTACTCTATCGTTATCAGAGGAACTGTTTAGTGATCTATACACGACGCCTTTGAGGAGGCTATCTTTTAGACTCCTGCGTCTCGAAATAATTTTCTCGAAATGAACCGGGACAGACGAAACGAGACGAGAAAATTGCGGGAAAAAAATAACGGGACAGAGGGTAAAATTTGTCCCGGAATAATCGTATGAACCGAGACAAGACTTCTGTCCCGGACTTTAAAACTTGTGTCCCGGTAAATTATGAACTATAAGCTAAAAAAACTGCGCTGCAATTTCTCCACGCGACAAAATTTCTTCTCGCTTCGAATCACCGACATGTGGAACAGCCTCCCCGATGACATCGTTGGCGCTCCAAGTATGAACGCGTTCAAGAACAGACTAGATAAAGCTATGGAAAAATATATGTTAATGATTTGAAATGCCTAGCACCTTATCGAACTCGGTGAAAGTCTAGTAGCTACTTCAAACTATCGTCATGAAAAGATCCGGTCGAATGACACGATTTTAGATATTCTAAAAACAAGGCACGAAAAGGAAAAGAATCGGCGACAGGCCACATCAGGCCTACGCTTCAGCGTCGAGATCACTATGTTATGTTATTACGCGTTCGGAACGAGTTCAGGCGCCGTGGAGCGCACAGGGAGTAGAGACGCAGTGTCTAGATTAGTCGGCCAATTAGTAAACAGTGGAGTGGAGTCCTGGTAAGATATTCCTAATAATACTAAGGCTAGTATTAGATTATCTCTGCCTTTAGTAAAATTTTGTGCTACGCCTCCAAGAAATCATCACAATTGCGCAGTTTCCTGAATTGTTATCAAACACATGGGCTTGTTTAACGTTATTTAGAAAGGATACACATGGATATTTAGAGTTCTTTTTTGAAGATCAAACTATTATATTTTTTCCAACTTAAATTTTGTTTCATTTTAAAATGTTGTTGATATTTATTTCCAAACTTTTTGTTGAAGGAGATTGCTTAAAGGCAAAATCGATGAATCTGATTCTGTGATTGAGCTGGAGGCAAATCAGTCTGTCCAGTCAGCCGATGTCACCAGCTACAGCTAGTATGGCCTCCTCCAAACCATCATAGATAAAATTTTTGAAAAAAACGTGTTTTTCCATTATTATTTGCCTGTCAAGATTAAGTAACATATCAAACCACAACATGTATTCGTAGCAAAAATCATTTCAATTGCCGAGCTCCAATCAGAATAGCAAAAGGATACGTCTCAAGTTATTATATAAATGCAGAGGTGGGCAGTAGCGCGCTACATGTAGCGGCCGCTACATTTTCAGTAATGGTAGCGGCGCTACATTTAAGCAATTGTAGCGGAGCGGTAGCGCCCGCTACATATTTAAGTAGCGATGCCGCTTCATTTATAAATAAAGCCTTTAGATTTTACTTAATAGAATTAAATATTATTTAAAAACCAGCATGATACATACATAATATAAATTACAGAATAAAACTGTACGAAAGATTTCGGTGTAATGTTGTCAACCTCAGCATGTTACTAGTGTCAACATATTAGTTGTTACCAGAGGTGGGCAGTAGCGCGTTGCATGTAGCGGCCGCTACATTTTCGGTAGCGGTAGCGGCGCTACATTTAAGCAATTGTAGCGGCAGCGGTAGCTCCCGCTACATTTAGAGCATGTAGTGGTAGCGGCCGCTACATTTCAAAGTAGCGCAGCCCAGCTCTGTATAAATGTATGATGGTAAGCCAAAGTTTACACCACATCAATAATTGATTCGTCTCGTTATGTCTCGTTAAAATGGCTATAAATACCGGGAAATTTGAAGTTACCTATTTTAACCGGGATGTCTCGTCTCGGTATCGTCCCGGAATTCCTACGGAGGGCTGAAAATTGTCTCGGTTTTTATTGCGAACCGGGACAGAGCCTGTTGTCTCGTCTCGGATAAAAAAAAAATACCAAACGCAGGAGTCTACTATCTTTGCCTTTGAGAGAAAGTTCGCACCACACTGATTCCCTAGCTGATTGATGCTCTGCAGATAACCTGATATGCTGGGCCCCATAAAAGGTTCTAACCCACAGAGCTACACCTCTACTGCACTGCTCTTCATTTAAGTTATGAAAACAATCAAAACCTGGCAACTGAAAATCAACAGGTATAATTTCCCCCCCGTGATTTTTAGGGAGTGTTTCTGTAATACAAGTAATGTTTATGCACTCGTTTTCGATCACAGTTAATAGCTCATTTTTTTGTTCAAAACAGAATCCGAATTTGTGTAGCATAGCATAGTGATGTCGGCGCCGAAGTGTAGGCCTGATGTGGCTTGTCGCCGATTCTTTTCCTTTTCGTGCCTTGTTCACAGAAGATCTAAAATCGTGTCATTTGAGCGGATCTTTTCATGACTGACGATAGTTTGAAGTAGCTACTAGACTTCCACCGGGTTCGATAAGGAGCTAGGCATTTCAAATCTGAACATATATTTTTCCATAGCTTTATCTAGTCTGTTCTTGAACGCGTTCATACTTGGAGCGCCAACGATG